GCTGGTAAGTGGTCTAAGTTAAATTTGTTTATATTTTTATATGAATTCCACATAATTTTAGTTTACTAACATTCAAAAAAATAAATAATAATAATAATAATTATAATAATAATAATAATAATAATAATAATAATAACAATAATAATAATAATAATAATAATAATAATAATAATAATAATAATAATAATAATAATAATAATAATAATAATAATGCATTTCATTGTCAGTTACATTACAACATTACATAGGGTACTGTGCCAGATTGTTGTCAATAATTTTCTATTTGTGTAATAACTTTCTTGTGGGTATAATCACATGCAATATTTTAACGTTTATTGATAATAATATTATGTTAATGAACGAATTAATTGTGTTTATCAATGCATCGTCCTGTTTATTTTCTATTTAATTTGCCAGTCGGACTTTTCGTTCGTCGAATCATAGTATAAGCTTTCTTAGAAGTTCCAAGAGATTTTAAAGAAAATAAAAGTAATGAACTGAAAATGAAATGAACCAAATGAATATGTGCCAAAACTCGACAAAATCAGAAGTAATAGCCCTTAAATTAAAGCCAATACTGACGGAGAGCTGAGTAACTTACCAAAGCAGATACTTTATAGGCGCATATACCTTCCTCTTACGGTGGATAGAAACGACTCAGTATATTCAATGTAATTCAGAAAGTAGTCCTATTATTTTACTCAACCGATGTTGAACATTCGAAACGACGGTGTTAATCATTTAAATCCTTTTATGATTCTCGTCACACACAGGTTTTAACAACTGCTGCAGGCGCTCACCGAGAGATCGAGAGATTAAAAGGTTTGTCCTTGCTTTAAGGGCTAGAATAATTATATGTTTCTTCATAAAACTTAATTAAATCATGTATTCAATTATTCGCTATGTAATTATCTTTCTATACCTAGCACTGAGTCTATTAAATACGATACGAAAATTATATGGGCAAGTTTGAGTTATTGAAGAGGCATCTGGCTTGCAGCAATTACAGTACGTCTACTTACGCACTGGAGTGGCGATATTTTTTACAATAATTAGTCGGAATCTAATCCAAACTTAGAACAGATTTATTGAAAAATAAACCTAAGCCTAAACCTATTGAAAAATAATAGATCATGAATGTAAACATTTAGAGAGCAACCACAACACTATGACGTGACCGATGATCTACTTTTAGTGTATGGGTGCGGTTTAACATAAGATCAACTGGTAATATTTCTTCAAGATCGTTCAATCTAAGGCAAGCCATTCATCAAATCACAAATAAATGCAAAATCTATTCAATTTAAAGTCAAACGATAGGATATTAAAGTGGAATTTTCGTTAATAAAAACATGGTAACTATATATTCCATCGTATGTTTATAAAAACTGGGCCCTGTATCTCTGATTTGCTGTCGTGCAATACGTAGCGTCATCAAACGCGTCAGCTGACCAATAGTTTACGCTTGATGATGTTTTTATTAGTTCATTTATGTTGCAATTTCCGTCTTATAACTATAAATTTCAATATTCATGACTATTGATTCTTTGGTTTAACCGAGATTATCAAGAATTCAGAAAGATACAAATGAATTGTTATTCACACGTTTTATAGGTATTGCAATACGTTTGTTTTCTGTGTTCCGTCGACCCTATATTAAACGCGGCCATGATTAATTTATTACTGTTGAAATTGGAGAAAAGTGAAAATGGATAATAAGGCGTGACTCTTAATTCTAGACCGAACACAAAATTAACAAAAGTAGATATACATGGTTTATGTTAGTATTATTTCACATAGATTTAGTACGTCAGGTGTGGGGATTTAAGTTGTCTAGCGCAGATGATATAGAGTATTAAATTAGTCTTAGCTCTCTCGTGATTTAAATTAATAATTCATTTCGTGCTGACCTGTGTTTAGCTATATGAACACTAATAATGAACTGAGCTCTGTACGCTGGATGGTGTGTAAGTGTAGGACCTTAACCGATATTTACACAGTATACCAGTATTTACATTATGTCGACCATCTGCAAACAGCAATCTGTTTACCTCTATAGGGTTTGTATGCATTACTAGTTTTATATTTTTTTTAAAGTGAAGAGAGAATAAAGTACCTGTTTAGTCAAATAATAATAATAATAATAATAATAATAATAATGATAATGATAATTATAATTATAATAATAGTCCTAAATAATAATAGTAATAATAGGCCTAATAATAGTTCTATCATAATAATAATAATAATAATAATAATAATTATTATTATTATTATTATTATTATTATTATGATAATAAAAATAATGATAATAATAATAATAATTATTATTATTATTATTATCATAAATATTACATTATTATATTATCATCATCACCATCACCATCATCATTGCAATGATTACTTTGCCTTACCGTTATTTAACTTAATGTACAGTAGATTGAAGTTGTCTAGTTAACACTTCTTTTGAATATACTTGATATTTTGGATACCTGTTCACTACTATTCTGTTTTCAGGTTTGTTGAAAATGCACTATCATTAAAATGAATTTATCAATTATTTACTATCTTCTACTAATTCTTTAAGTGGTTCTCTCTCGAGCTGAAGTATTACAATGCAGTAGGTGTCTAGAAACATTTAGGCGCCAATCACCACAATGAAGTTCCAGTGTGAACAAAGCTATTCGTTTAATTAGTCAAATTGTCCTAATATGAGTCACTAAGAATTAACGAGTAAAATGCAAAAGTGTAATGGTATTCAAAAATTGGCTGCCACAGTCTTTATACAGTGGCATGTTTGTTGGGATGAGACAATAGGGCAAAATAATTGCGTGCTGCTAGCCAGAAGCTAAGTTTGACGAAAACTCAAGCTGAGGAAGGTTCCATTATTTTTTCGTTTCCGTATAAAAAAGTTTAGTATTGTTGAGGCTTTTTTTCGTCAGGCCGCGTGTCAGTAAACTGTTTTTTACATAAATTGAGTTTACACTGTGTCTAATTCAAGTGTTCACACTAAAAATGAAATGTGGTGAAGAGCCAAAAGGCAACAAGTGAATGATGTAAGCCACACGTTCATTAAATAAAAGAATAACTGTAGGGTAAGAAAAACCCTCTTGATGATTTGGATACATTGAATTTACATTCATCATTATAAGCAAACTCATTTATGCTCATATCATTCCATTGCATACGATAACAAATTTTCAACAAATCGGAGTTTATTATATAGCATCATTATATAGACGCACAAGGAGAACCGTGTCTGTAAGGTTCGTTAGTATTCTCATGTTTCACATTCAGAAAAAGCCAGTAAACGATAATGATTATGAATGTACATGATGGATTAGTATTCTGTCAGTTAAATTTCTTGTACAGTAATTTTCTCAGTACGAAACTTGAACGGCAGATCGGAAAACGCGTGGTGATAATTCCTAGCAAACTCGCGACACACTCGTGGATGGATAATCGTAGACAAGTTACCCGTGTCCATTAGGTTGGAGTATCCCGAGTACACTGAACATACTTGTTCAAAATTACCGCCACGATTTGTCCGAATCGTCTCCGAAGTTGCTAGCGAGTAGGTTTGAGTATCCCGAGTACACTTTACCAACTCAACAAACACAGCAAACTCCTCGGATCTCGTGCAGGAAAAACTTAGATGGGAGAGCTGTTTTAGTGTACATCGCGAAAATATTTTGAAGCAATTATTGCTTTAAATTATGAATGAATTTCGTTCTAAAAAGACAAGAAATATCCCGATCTAAATATCTGTCTAACTTCCAACCATTTTCTCATTTGTTTAAAATTCTTGTTTTTGTTAATGGTTATAAATTTATGAAAATAAATAATGTAAGTTATTTTTGTCATATATTTAATTATACGATTTATGCTTTTGAATTTGTTCGTTATTATTGATTTAGCCGTTAGGTATTGTCAGTAATTTCAATTTACTTGTCAGTGATTTTTGGCATTTTCATTTGGAATCAATCTGATCATGTCAATAGTAATTAAGAATTGATTAAGCTCTGGTTAAAATCAATAATGTCTGTGGTCTATAAATAATTAGAAATTATAACCATAATTTAACTACAGCTATCATAGATTCATAATGCATTATGAATTATAATGACCTGTCTCAGCGGCATATAGGCTGTACCGGGCACTGTGTCAAGTTTCATAGCTGGGGCCCTTTGACACGAAGCGGCTAAGGCCGAGCGTTGGCAAAGAGCCGGCTAGCCCATTTATTGAGGTCAAAGAGCAAAGTCCCAGTGACCATATAATTCAATTTTAGTATTACTGCATATGTTGTTATCATGGGCCAATATTCGTACAACAAAAATCCAAATTAAATGTACTGTCTACAATAGTCTATTAGTAACTATGCATTACGGGGTAGGGACGTCACTCCACTAAGGCCCTAACAACACGCATACCCCCAACTATGCATCCTGGGGTAGGGAGGTACTCCATTCATTTTAATTTTCAACTAAGTTGATAAGTATTTTTTCATTCTTATAAAATGTCTATTTGTTTCCAATTGAAACCTGTTCATTCTTCATAAATTTGGATTTGGAGTGGAGTTAAATGGATCAGTGTTTGAGATGCCTGCCTTCTAATCCCAGGGTTCTGGGTTCAATTTCTGTCAGACCATGGACCTTTTTCTCAGGACGAAAACCAAATCCACTCCGTCAATAAGAGATAATATAGTAAGTATAATTCAATCCTGTAAGTGACGAGTGTAGGAAATAATAATAATACAATCATTATTTTACTTGAACTAATTTCTTCTTTCTCTTCTGGCTCCAGTGGCTGGATTTGATGTTTGTATATCAGCACCCTGGTTTATACGAGACAAAGCCTACGCCTATTAGGCCATAATACGTGTATATGTTGAACTCATGCTTAAAACCTATTGAAATAATATTTCACAATAGAAAAAACGTTTCAACCTGAGACGACGCGTATTTTATGCTTCGACGTCTTTAGTAGCCTAGACGTCCAAACACACACGTAAAAAAGGTTGTATAGAACTATATAAAGCGGAACGTGCGGTTACCATGGTTAAAAAAGCAAAAATCAATTTATTTTTTCTTGTAAAGAAAAGTGCAGTAATAATAATAATTAATAATTCTGGATTTATATAGCGAATCACGTTTACAAAACCTCGAGGAGGCGCAGTAGCTCTATACATCTTTTTAAAAATGCAGAAACGCGGCTCCCACAAAGTATATTTGTGAATCTGCACCGACTACACTTCCCGTACCTACGTACCCCAACAACCATCATGAACCGGCATGTCGAACTTTCACATTTGTATAGTTTTAGTTAGGCCTAGTCCATGTATGTTATGACTCCACAGTGGTGGATTCAAAGGGGGCCCAGCTGGCCCGGGCCTCACCCTATACATTTTTAAACATTATTTTAAAAAATTGCGAAAAACAAGAAAAGTATATTCAAATTCAAGTCTGAGAGGGCTGTTTAATTCGACATGATGCCATAATCATAAGTTACCTCAGCCCCAACCATGCTGCTGCTTACCGTGGTTTGGATCCTCCATCTGAGAAAGTCTCTCCCTGCCCACACCCCCCACCCCAACCTATTTCGAGTACCTGGATCCGCCACTGCTCCATGTTGTGATGTAAAACAAAAAATAGGACACCGTGGTTTTATTGATAGCAATGAATTCGCATGATGCACTTCGTTGTGAAATCATATGATGAGTGACAATCCCCAGGCAAGCCTAGGATTTTACGTAATGACAGATTGATACTGCTACAATAAAACTGCTGATAAGATTTCAGCTGGAAATCTCTAGATACTTGGATAACTATGCCACATTATAACTATAAATGGTATTTTTATTAATATTGGACACTAAATATTGAGAAATACAATATTAATATAATATATTATTATTAATATAGTTTACTTTATTATTATTACTATTATTATCATTTACTTAATATCGCATTATTATTATTATTATTATTATTATTATTATTATTATTATTTAACTTGTTATTGTTATCATTTTTAGTAATTATTATTAACATTATTAATAATAATGTTTTATTTTATTATTATCAGTACTATTGTAATTAGAAATACTATAATACTATACACTCGTTCATTTTCTAAAAGGTGATATAAAGCTGAATATTTATCAAAATATATAATGTCATAATACCGGTATAATATATATAATCAAAATCTTAGTAGGTTCTTATGATAGTTCCACTACGGCATTAATAATATTACATCATTATATATCCATAGCTAATTATCATAAAATGTTAGGTGCAGTATAAATAATATAACTATGAAATTTACGTAAATTAATAAATTTCAGAACTTTGAATCATAAATAAAATTCAACGGATGAAATCAGTAAATCCAAAGGGGAAAAACATCAGTATTTATATACGAATCGATCGATTATTCAATCTGGATCCTACAACTGCATTGGAATATGGCTACCAAGCACAACCGTCGGAGAATACTATTCATAAAATCTTACTCTCGTTCATAACAACATCATTAACGATTCCTACCTTTTATCAATCTGTCCTTTGTCAATTGATACGACATGCATCGTTTTCACGCATAAATATCCATCTTGAATGCGGACAAACGACTTATAGTCACCACTCGATATTCTCTGCAACAACCTAAAGAAATTGTATGCGCGACGTTAACCAATTCTTTATTCAGACACTGCTGAATTAATTGATATATTTCACTCGTTCATACTAATCAGTGATGTTACGTCATTGTGACGTCACGTAATATAAAGCAAACGAGGGCGCTCAACGAAAACCAGCTTTATTAAACGTTAAAAACAGGATCTAGAGAAAGATAAAGCTTTACTTAGCTTTAATAAACGTTAAATATTTAGTTTTGGTTTTCAGAACAGATCAAAATAACACACCAGAAATTAACTTATATTTGAATAATGGGCTGTACATGATAAGTTCAAAACATTATTAAATCATTATTTAGTAATATTAGTATTCATTAGTTATAAAATGTAAAGTCTATAACAGGGACGTAGCCAGGATTTTGAAAGGGGGGGGGGAGCCGTTATGCGAATTACGTATGACCCCGGCGGGGTCAAGGGGGCGAATCCCCCTGTGAAGTAGCGCACTTTGAACGTTCTTAGGACTGTTTGACAGGATAAAGTGAAAATTGCAATAGACGCATTATAAATAAGCGAAAAAATAATTATACACTAGTATAATAAATCAACAGCGGCAGATCTAGGAATTCGAAAGAGAGGTGAACCAGGGAATCCACATCTGCTCAAAACATTCTTTATCCAGAATAGTCATAATCACGAAAAATGGACATGAAAAACCAGATCACATCCTAAAAACAAACAGCAGTCATAAGACATACATCAGGAGCCGACTCGATGGAGTTTAATGTCATACCCTGGGAAGGGCACAGATCTGGTGGAGGGGGAGGGTATTTTGTAAGTCGACGCCCACCCCAGCCCCACAATGGTTGGAGCTGAGGTGAGAAAATTTGAGGAAATAGTACCTCTAGATGGCCAGAAATGACACTTTTAGTAAAATTCATCATCATCACATCACCATTAGTCAAAATGAAGCGCCAAAAGAAATTCTCATGATCTTTTATCAGGGATTTTTGACAACCATAGAGATCTTATTAATGTGTGTGTATACACCATAGAAAACAAAGCTTAACAACATTGTCTTTGAGTATGTACTTTACATAGGCCTACTTCAAAAACGTGATTTTACAACCCCACCATGGCTGGGGCTGAGGTGAGAAAATTTGAGGAAATAGTACCTCTCGAAATGGCCAGAAATGACACTTTTATATAGTAAAATTCATCATCATTACCATTATAGTCAAAATGAAACGCCAACAAATTTCTCGTGATCTTTTATCAGGGATCTACTTAATATCCAGGACAACTTAGGGCTAATTATAGCTTACTAAGCTTTAACTATATATACTATATTATAATCAACAAATCACAATTTTTTTCGCATTTAGCACAATTTTCTTCAATTTTTATTGTTATTAATATTAATATCAATTATTACTATCGTCATCATCATCATTGTTATTATTATTATTACTATTAGTAGTAGTATTATTAAACAGACATTTAAAGAAACTTGCAAAAGGATAAAAACGAAATTGAACCACAGTATCGCATTTCTATATTAAAAGACCTGGCCTGAGATTTATGGATTTAAGACTTTTTTAAATCACGCTTAGGCTTATGTGTTCTATTAGGCCTATGTATAGCGTGTCCTGATGCATATTTACATGTTTAGAAGTATTCATTTTAAGTGATCCCAGGAAAGAATTTGTATTGGCTCAAGAATAAGCTTTACAATTTTAACACTGTGTACAAAGGGTTGGGGGAGCCGCGGCTCACACGGCTCCCCACTGGATACGTCACTGGTCTATAATGTTATTCATTGCCAATTATATTACTCCATTTGGTAATATTTGTTATGTCTGATTAAAATATAAACTGAATTGTTCTGAAATAAAACTAATGGCAAAGCGTTTTGCGTTGTACGGTACGTCTATTTGTTAATAATTTGAATGGCGCATTAAATGTAACAATTTTATTATTACCTTATCTTATTGCTGAATATAGCATAAATAATTCTTTTAAATAAAAATAGTTGATTTGCTTTATGATGTAGGTTTGGTATTTAGTATTTATTCTTTTCGTCAGAATGAAGTAATACATCTTTCCGGTATGATATAAAACGTACAGCTAATGGGTCGCTTACACCGAACCATATGTCTGGTCTTGACCAGTGCTGGTGCAAGCGGGGCACCCTTTCTTATAAATGTACTGTACTGTATCTGTCTCTTATACACATCTAGATGTGTATAAGAGACAGGATCAAAATAACACACCAGAAATTAACTTAAATTTGAATAATGGGCTGTACATGATAAGTTCAAAACATTATTAAATCATTATTTAGTAATATTAGTATTCATTAGTTATAAAATGTAAAGTCTATAACAGGGACGTAGCCAGGATTTTGAAAGGGGGGGGGGGAGCCGTTATGCGAATTACGTATGACCCCGGCGGGGTCAAGGGGGCGAATCCCCCTGTGAAGTAGCGCACTTTGAACGTTCTTAGGACTGTTTGACAGGATAAAGTGAAAATTGCAATAGACGCATTATAAATAAGCGAAAAAATAATTATACACTAGTATAATAAATCAACAGTGGCAGATCCAAGAAATCCGAAAGAGAGGTGAACCAGGGAGGGACTTTCACAGACCGAGGAA